TGTAACTGTGACTTGGCAAATTAATTATCCAACAGTAAGGGCTGATTAAATAAATGATGAGGGTATTCAATATGACGGAATGCCAGGGAGCTGTTAAAATTCATGGTATTGACCATCGAAAGCCCTGGGAGAAAGAGCAGCTACATCATTAACTACAGGAAAGGCTCAAGGGATGACAACCGGGCAAGGCCAAGGTATCGCTGCGAGACGGGAGCCCTTGAGCGCAGATGACACACTGATGTCTCCTGGTGCTAAACCAGAGCCTGGAGCTGAGAGGTCCTCAAGCAATCCGTTTTGTCGTGGAACTCTGTCCTGGATAAAAACAACTCGGAATCTCTCTCTCTTTGCTGTCTGTACGCATACACACACTTGATACAGCCATTCATTCATTAACTTAACAGGTGTGCCCCTGGGAGGCAGGCAGTCTTCCAGGGCCGAGGGACACAGGCATGGCAGGAACAAAACAGATCCATATCCCTGCCCTCCCAGAGTGAACATCCTAGAAGGGGAGACTGAAGATGAAGATTAAATTCAGCACACAGAAGGTTTTGAAGGACCCCTCCCTACCCCCAGAGGGAGGGAAACTGCCAGAGGGCTTTGCACACAGGAGTGACAGGAGCCCCTGGCTCTTGGGTGGGGAAGAGACCCTGGGAGACAAGGGTGAACTTGGAGATCCACCTGGGAACCTACTGCAGTGACCTAGGCCCTCAGGGCAACTTGCACAAACCCCGAACCCATTGAGCCTGACTCGATGGCCTCTGTGTGGTAAGGCACAAGGGAGAAGGAGGAGGTTTTTATTTCCTTCTTTGAGCTTCTCTGTAGTTTCTAAGACTTTCAGATTGACCATTACTTGTGAGTATGTATAATTAACAATTTTTTAAAATCCCATCTACCTTTCAGGTTTGAATTCAAATGATGCCTCTCTCGGGAAGTCCTCCTGGATTCCTACAAACGCCAACTTGAAATTAGATGGGATCAGGTCTTTCTGCCCCGGCCAGCCTGGAAGCCTATCCCTGAGGGCAGCAGCGTCCTGGGGACACATACACAGAGGCCCAAGGAGCTCCTCTATTCTATGGGATTTGACCTCTGCCTCCCCAGGGGTCCCCAGGTTCTGCCCCTGCCTCACCACTAGCATCCAGGACTGTGAAAACCAGACCCCAACGTCCACTCTCACCCTTGCTATTCCCCCAAGTCCCTCATACACTGAGAAAACCCTCAGAAGTCTTGAACCAAGAAATCCATTAGACTAGGGAGTCTCAGGGGTTCCTCAGAGGGGCCACCATGGGAGACTGGTTGCCCAAGTGGCACGTCAGCCATCACCCGTCCTGGGCTTTATCCTAAGAAGGCATGTGAATTGGGGTGGGGATGAAGGGCTCTGGAGCATTAGACCAAATCAGCAACATTTTGAAAAGGCCCCCCAAATTCTAGCCCAGTTCCCTGACCCTTGGTTCTCCATGACCTAGCTTGACTCTGGCCGCCCCTGCTCACTCAGAGCTTAGGAGAAAAATACCCTAGACACAAACCCCAACCAAGGGCAGCTCTGGCTTCCCAGGCCTGGGCCTTAGCCCCATTTGCTGTGCCCAAGA